CGGCTTTCCAATTGGTATTCCTGGCGGATCTCCCAGATCAATTCCAGGCGGATTCCCAATGGGATCCTTTGGGATCTCCGGCGGATTCCCGACGATTTTCCATTTCCTATCGTACACAGCTCCGCCCCGCCTGCCCGTCTCCTATTGGATAGCTCACTGACAGACAGCTTTATGGGCCAATAGCAGCCGCTGATGATCCAGTAGGCGGGGCCCTCGGCCTTCGGTTATCCAATGGGAACCGGGGGGCGGGTTTAATATAATTGTGGCTCCGGCGAGGGATCTCGTCCCGGAGGAGATTGCGATCCAGTCCCGGAGCCGGAACGGATCAGGATCCAGTCCCGGAGCAGATTGTGATCCAGTCCCGGAGCAGATCGGGATCAAGATCCGCAGATTGCGATCTAGTCCCGGAGCAGATCAGGATCCATTTGCGGAGCTTGATCGGATTAGGATCCAGTCCGGGAGGCGGAGCTGATCGCGATCCGGAGGAGGAGGTGATCGGGTTCTCGTCTCGGGGTACGTCGGGTTCTAGCCCCGGAGCCGGAGCAGATCGGGATCCAGTCTCGGAACCGGAGCCGATCGAGATCCAGTCCCGCAGCCGGAGCTGATCGGAATCCAGTCCCGGAGCGGGACCCAGGTGAGCCAGTAGATCTGGGTTGATATCCACCCTGCCCCGGAACTGTGTCCGAACAGGACTGATCTAAAATAAACACCGAAACAGCTGGAAAAACTCAGCAGGTTCTAGGACCATCCGAGAGTCCGGAGGAAGGGTCACCGGACCCGAAACTTTAACTCTGTTTTCTCCTTCACAGATGCTGCCAGACCTGCTGAGCTTTTCCAGCAACTTTGTTTTTGTTTTGGGAGCTTCTGGACGGAGAAAATGTTTTGGTCCAACCCCACACGGATCGCGATCCAAATTCAGATCCAGATCCGCATCCAGATCCCCGGGCTGAACCAGGTACAGGTCCAATTCCAGGTACACATACCTATCTGAACCCAGGTACAGATCCTGGTCCAGGTATGGATCCGGATGCAGGTATAGGTCGATCCACGTACAGATCCTGATCGAGGTACAGATACAGACCCAGGTCTGGTGCAGGAGCTGCGCTCAGTGTAAGGAGCACCTAAACCCACCTTGTGGAGCTGCCCTGGACCCAGTATCCCTGCTGGAATCTGTCCCTGACTTTCTGCTGACATTTGCCCTGTGGCTCTCTCTAACTCTGTCTCTTCAATCTCTGGGAATAAATTGCTATTTGCTTCTGTTCCTGATTTACAGCATCCGCAGTTCTTTCAGTTTTTAATAAACCGCTACTTGTTTGATGGGGCGGCACAGTGGCTCAGTGGTTAACACTACTACCTCACAGTACCAGGCACCATAATTCACTGTGTGCCTGGGTGGGTTTTCTCTCACAGTCCAGAGATGGATGGATGGCTAGGTGGTGGAGGTACACAGCAGGCCAGGCAGCATCAGAGGAGCAGGAAAGTTGACTGGTAGTTTGGATTTTACCAGTTTCAAAATCTCCCCAACCCCGGGCCTCATCCCATGACCAACCCTCCCTCCCATCCCCGCCTCCTTAACCTGACACAACCTGTCCGTCTACATTCCCACCTACCGTTACTCCCACCTCACTGACCAATCCTCACCAGTCCCTACCTGCACTCACCTATCACCATCCCATCTACCTTCCCCAGGCCCACCCTTCCTCTCCCTATTTATTTCTGAGCCCCCTTTCCACTCCCCTAGTTCTGAAGAAGGGTCCGACCCAGAACGTCAGCTTTCCTGCTCCTCTGATGCAGTCTGGCCTGCTGTGTTCATCTCGCTCTACACGGTGTTATCTCTGACTCCAGTATCGGCAGTTCTCACTATCTCTGGATCGTTAGGTGGGTTGGCTATGCTAAATTATCCTTGGTGTTCAGAGATGTGTAGGTTAGGTGAGTTAATGCAGGGTTACAGGGATAGGGTAGGGGGATGGATCAGTGTGGATCTGTTGGACTAAATGGCCTGTTTACACACTATAGGGATTCTGTGCACTGTGCGGGGATGCATCTCTGGGTCTGTGCTGTGGAGCAGTCCCTCATTCTGTGACCAAAGCCAGTGTAATGCTATCCAGACAGCCATGGAACAAAGTGAGTGAAATTGACTGAGAAATGGGAAGCAGAGAGTCTTAGTGAAATTTATCAGAAGACAGCGATGTTCCCGGGGAGCCAGTACTAGTAGTCCTGTTTTTGTTAAATCTCTATGACTACGTTATACAGTATATCCAGTTGGGTGCACAGGGTACAATATCAAAATGTCCATAAGTCACAAAAAGGTAGCATCCCAAATTCAGCAGATAATATGGAATGTAAACGGAATGTTGGTCTTTATTTTAAAGGGAATGGAGCACAGAAACAAGGAATTCTTGCTAAAACAATACAAGTCACCAGTCAGAACACAGCTGGAATACTGTGATCAGTTTTGGGTCCCTTATCTAAGGAAAGATATCCTGGCATTGGAGGCAGTCCAGAGAAGGTTCTCTGAGTATGGAGGGCCGGCCTTATGAGGAGAGATTGAGTAGATTGGGCTTGTAGTTGTTAGAATATAGAAGATTGAGAGGTGATCTTATTGAAACAAAGAAGATTCTTAGAGGACTTGACAGGCTGGATGCAGAGAGGTTGTTTCCCCTAGTGGGAGTAGCTAGGACCAGAGGGGCATCATTTCAAATAAGGGGTCACCCATTTGGGACAGAGATGAGGAGGAATTTCTTCTCTCAGGGAGTAGTGAATCTGTGCAGTTCTTTACCCCAGAGAGTTGTCAAGTCTGGATTATTTGGTATATTCAAGGCTGATATTTTCAATCAGTAAAGGAATGAGCATTTATGTGGAAAAAGCAGGAACGTGGATCTCAGGTTTATTGTTGAAGCATAGGGCAGACTTTGTTCGCTGAATGGCCTACTTCTGCTCCTTTTCTTGTGAACAAAATCAGAAATCGCACGACACCAGGTTATAGTCCAACAGATTTATTTGACATCGCAAGCTTTCGGCGCGCTGCTTCTTCATCAGGTGAAACTTTCTTGGGACTGAGAGGTGCCAGCGAAACAACAAATGTAAGAGTCTAGTGCGTGAATGAATGTAAGGACATTCCTGGCTGTTAGTTTAATGTCCACTCTGGGTATAGGTTTAGAAACAAGTGAGCATCCTGCTGGAAGAAAAGAGATATGTTGGTGAAGCATGTTGTCAGGCATTCATCAGGACAGAGTTACAAGAATGTCAAATCACAATGGAAACCATAATAAAAAGTGGGTTAGCAAGTGAACTCTGATTGGTAGATGCATTGCCATGGATAACATGCCAGGGAGCAGTTAATTGACAGTTTTTGGCTTAAATTCAACCAGGCAGCTGAACTATGATTGAATTGGCTGTGCCACGGGGAAAGAGAGAGGATCTGTGATTGGTTGGTCCTCAGTTGTTCGTTGGAAAGAGCCAATGTTCTGTTCATTCTGTGTGTAAAAGGATACCAAGCTGTGTGTGAATGAGATTATAGCAGGCTTGGATAAAGTCAGTAAAAACAAGGCCATTCCCATTGGCTGCTGGTACAATGAACGGGGGGGTGGGGGGGAAGGAAATGGGAATCACCTGAAACCCGTGGTCCATGTGGGAAAGTTGGAAGTGGAGATGAGCAAGGATTTCTAAAGAAGATTGGAAATAAACTCTCTGGGCTATAGAGATAGACTTGGGGAATGGGACAGACTAGACTGTTCTCAATGGGCTGAATGGCCTTCTCCTGCACTGTAATGACTGTGACTGTGAGACCTCATAGACAGAATGGTGAAATTGAATGGAAAAGTCTGTGATTTGAAATGGGAAGAACGAGAAGATGTGATACCAAATAGAGGATGCAATTCTACAGAGGTGAGAGGCAGGGGAGGTGGAGCAGGAGCAGAGAGACCTCTGTGTCCAAACTTGTAGGTGGCAGGAAAGTGGGTGAGAGTGCACACAGAGTACTGAACTGTATGAATCAGAGTAAAGGAAATACAAAGATAAAGACATCACAGTGATTTTTTTTTATCCCCCTCTGGTTTGTGTTCATGTGTAGAGTGCTGTGTACAGCACTGGGCACTCCCATTTACCACAATAGTGACCCAGATGGTTGAAGTGGCCGACCCTCCATGATGGGGATAGAATGGAGATTTTGGTGCTGATCTCCCCTGGGAAGAGAAGCTGGAGAGGAGAAACGATCGATTTGTTCAAAATCCTGAGGGATCTGCACAGAGTGGTTAGAGGAGGGTGGCCTCTTCCCATTGGCAGAAGGACTGAGAACCAAGGAGATACTGATTTAAAGATGATGGGATACACTGCCTGGGAGTATGGTGGTACAACTGTGACTTTCCAAAGGCAATCGGAATCTCCCTGAAATAATTTGGCAGGGCCATGGTGAAAGGAGTAGGTGTGGAGCTGGTTAAGTTGCTCTTACATGGAACTGGGGTGGATGTGATGGGGCAACCTTCCTGTGTTCCGAACCATTTTTTGGAGAGTTTAAACCCTTCACACCCACAATGTCTACCAAACAAATTAAGGAGGCCAGAGGGCATGGATTTAAAATGATATGCAAATGAAGCGAGGGTGATTTGAATAAAAATTTTTTTTTCACACTGTGAGTAGTTAGGGATATGGAATGTACTGCCTGGAAATGTGATAGAGGCAGGTTCAATTAATTGAGACATCCAATTGGATGGTTGTTTGGATAGTAATGTTCTGCAATGGTGTGGGGGAGAAAACATTTAGCATTTCCTTACCATGTGTATCGAGCTGTGGGTGTAGCTCTGTGATGGCTGCTGAATCGTCTTGAGCAAATAAGGAACTGCACACACTCTATTTTAAAATTGTATTTAAGAGAATGAGGAAGTGTGTGACCTAGTTGCTATAGTGCTGCTAACCCTTTAGCTGACTGAAGCTTAGCCGCTGTGAGACTGCAGTGACTGTGTCCCTTGATTCTGTGTCTAAGCCCTATTGCCTCATTCTCCTCTGGCCTGTATTGCACTCCTTATTTTGTCAATCCTCCCAATTCTCACTGGACTCTGTCCCGGCTCTCCATTACAGTGTTTGAGAAAAATTCTTTCATGAGATGTGGGACATTTCCCATCCCTTAACTGCTCTGGAGAAGTGGGTAGTGAGCTACCTTCAAGCTGCAGTCCTAGGGATGCCATTAGGGAGGGAATTCCTGGATTCTGACCCTGCAAAAGTGAAGGAATGGTGATAGATTTCCAAGTCAGGATGCTGAGTGGCTTGAAGGGGAACTTGCAGGTGATGGTGTTCCCATGTATCTGCTTCCCTTGTCTTTCCAAATGGGAGTGGTCATGGGTTTGGAGGGTACTGTTGGAGGGGAATCTTGATCTTAATGATGACTGGTTGGGCAGCACAGTGGCTCAGTGGTTAGCACTGTTGCCTCACACCACTGGGGACCCGGGTTCAATTCCACCCTCGGGTGACTGTCTGTGTGGAGTTTGCATGTTCTCCCCGTGTCTGTGTGGGTTTCCTTTGGGTGCTCCGTTTTCCTTCATCCTGTCAAATATCAGCTGCTGCCGAAGCCCCTTGTTCATGTCTTTGTTGCTTCTATTGATTTGACCATTGGAATACAATCCAGTTCTGTACAGGATA